GTGAGCGGTAGGTGAACGGTAGGTGAACGGTAGGTGAACGATAGGTAAGATGTGGTAGGTGAGCGGTACCACATTACAAAAGTACCCTTTTACCTTAGTTCATTAATTGAGGGTCAAAATAACAAAAAAATAATTTTAATTTATTAGAATTAAATGAAAATATGACACTCAATAGGAGAAAAAGGATTCATGTAGCTGACCCCACCTAGTGGGATAAAGGTTTGTTGTTTTTATTGCTATTGTTGTTCCTAGACAACTAAATACTTTATTTTGAAACATTTACTTGGGCCATCACTTATTTTCCATCACTCTTAGGAATTCTGGAGGCTTTATGCAGCAAAATCATAGCATGGGAGGAAGAAAGTGGAGCAGAATTTACATATGATGGTGTAAGATTTTTATTGTTCATCTTCAATTTTATGTTTTCTTATTATTGATTTACATTGTTGTTGTCGTTGCAGGTTCGCCTTTTGTCAATGCTAGAAGAGTATTCTTTCGTCCGACATCAAAAAGAGCAAGAACAAAAGCGGCAGAGAGTATACTTCTTTCCTTGAAAACATTTGGGAAATTTACATTAAGTACACAATTCTTTATGTATTTACTCATCTCACACCTAAACTTTCATATTTAAATATATATACTATATCGGCGCTTTAAGACATATGTATAAAAAAGAATATTTCACTTTTAAAAATTGATATCAGTGCTATTTTTGACGTGATGTTATAGAAGATGTTTGTAAATATGAAAGTTTAGGTATAAGATATGTAAATACATAAGCATTGAGTGCTATATTATATAAATATAAATTATATGAAGCGAAGTTTTGCAGCATTATCATGCACCATAACTTATTTTCAGGATCAGAAAAAGCTGCAGAGCCAGTTTCTAGCTGAGCAGGAAGCAATTTTTGGATCGAAACCGAGTCCCTCGAAGCCGCAGGGCTCGAAAAAAATTCCTAGAAGAACCTCTTCAGGATTTACAAGCCGAAGATTGTCCTTAGGAGCAGCAGCGATGCAACTAATGAAACCTGATTTTCCTTGCATTAAAGCAACAACCTCAACAAAGAGAGGAAATGAGTTGACTTTTGTTTCTCCTGGTTTGTTCCTTCAAACTTCATCCAAAAATATCAGTTTTGTTTGACAATGATTTTTGCTGCTTTGATTTTAAAAATTTGAGATAAAAAAACATTTGGGAAATTTGCACAAACGGCTAAACCTAACTTTTTTACATTTATCCCACACAAATCTTTTACTCACATAAAAAATATCATTATTTTGACTTTTAAAAAGTCAGAAACACCTTGTCATACATAGGTAAGTTGGCATATATATTTAAAAAATTGAAGTTTTGGCATTAGATATGTAAATACATAGCAATTGAATGGTATATATGTAATTCTTCCTTGATTTTAATTGCTAATTACTCAAACTTGGATTCCCCAGCCAAGAAAGGAGTATTGGAGGCAGGGATTCCAGCAAGGTTCTCTTCTTCTAATTCAGATAACATGAATTCCTTCCAATCCAATCCGCCTCGAAAGTCTTTCGGCGTCATGAACACAAGCGCTCAGCATTCTGAAACACCCAGGAAGCCATTTGCGCTCCTTGGTCCAGCCAATGTTGTACCATTAACTCCTTCCCAGGAAGAAGAAAATCAACCGATCTCAATAGCTCCAGGAACAGTGCTAAAGCCCATGGAGATCGTCGCCACCCCAGCAACCTTTCTAAGAGTTTTGGATGAGAAGGAATACTCCTTTGAAGAAAGAAGAGTTGCAGTTTACCAGAGAAGATAGAGAGGAAGGAGACGAAAGCTGCTCTGTTCTTCAGTTTATCAGAGAAGATGAGGATGTGTTCTGTTCTTCAGTTTGAATTTGAATTTTATGTTGCTTTTATATGGAGTTACCGTTAGCTCCTTTCAATGCAATCTCATCAGATTAGTTTAATTTAGGCTGTGATAGGTGAATAATAGGGTCGGCATATGATGATTCAATTTGTAATCCACGCCAGGCTGATAATGTGCTATTCGAGTAAGGCTCGAGCTCGGGACATCAGGGGACTTACGACGCCACTGCCAATCAAAGTGCCAACAAGTTAGCACTTATGATGGCTCGGTTTTGCTTGGGATGGACTTAAAAATTGGATTTTTTTCCTTTTTTATTATATTTATATGATAAGAAATATGTGATTTTGATTTGGGAGAAATGTAAAAATAATGAAGACATTTGTTGTGAAATGAATGAAGATTTTTTTGTGCAATCTATATAATAAATGTTAAATTGTGCATATTGAATATTTTGATATTATTGAAAATTGATGGCATATAAAGCTTACTAATACTCTTATGAAATTTATTTACAATGTTTATATGCAATGAGAACATTTATATAACTTTATCACTGTAATAATATTAAAATTGAGCATATAAAACTATTTGGTTTGTTGGAAAAAAATGCAATATAAAAGAAATGAGGTGAAAGTAGATGCGGTGCATTAAAAGGTTAACTTGTAATTTGAATGAATGCATTGCAAATGCATAAAATGATAATTTTGTATTTGGGCGAGTACAATTAAGAAGAAATGGGGTGCAATGCAATGGCTTTGCGGTGGCTGGTGGTGGCCTTTAGAATGAATTATCTCCCTTTTGCATAATTAAACCAAACATACAAAATTTTGAAAAGTTTCAAATTTCTTGCATTTAGAATGAATTATCTCCATTTTGCAAGAAATCAATCAGCCTCTTATCTTAGATATTTGACAAATTTAAAATATATCACTTTTTTAAAGTATTGGCCATAACCACTTGTTGCCTATCATCACCCACAATTGCCACCTCTAGTAGTTGCTCACCGCTAGTTACCCACCACCGAATGTTCTTCACCTAACATCGGGAGCCTAACGCCATCTCCTCATCATCAACTGTTAGACACTTGTTATTATTAGAGGCAGCATATCACCTATAACCACCACCGTCTAGCTATTAGGTGTCAAAACCACATGTCAACCGAAAA